AGGCTGAGGCAGGATTGCCAGGCCATGAGTTTGAGGTGAGACTGGCCTAAATATAGTGAGTTGAAGACCAGCCTGCACTACAGAGTGAGACCATCTCAAAAATCAAAAGTGGGGGAAAAAAATTTATTTCCATCATAGATATGAAAGAGAGGAGAATTGTGCAATTGGGTTTATGAGTTCAAAGATTTAACATAATTTTCCTTTAAAAAGAAACAAGAGGATATCAGCAGCTCCTGGTCTGAGCAGAAGGGAACTGTGGCTATCTTTAGCAGTTAGGACTATTGTCTGAACTCAAAGGTAAGATGCCCTTCTTTGTCCTCTTGAATACAGGCAGAGTCATGTGACTTGCTTTGTTCATTGAAATGTGTTTAGGAAAGATGAGTTGCTTCTAGATAGAAACTAGGTGCCAACATCTGGCTGGTCACATCCCATTTTTTTTTGTCTCAACAGTTAGGAAAGTGTATGTCAAGATGGAGTACCCAAGTGTTTGTGTTGTTGCTGTTGTTGTTGTTTTAGCTTGAGCCTTGTTATATAATTTAGGTTGGCCTTGAACTCACAGTGATCCTCCTGTTTCAGCCTCCTGAGTGCTGGGATTATACACATGCACTACTACACCCAGCCTCAGGAGCCCCAATTTCTGTGTAACTACCTATGTTGTACATACAACAACATGAGTAAAAAATAACCATCTTGTTTTAAGCCACTAGGGAGTTTGGGATTGTAATTGTATTATAATTAAGCCTGTCCTAACACAGCAATAAATACCTTAATGTATAAAAACTTGTCGAGCAAAAAAAATTTTTTTTGTCTTTTTGAGACAGGGTCTCACTGTGCAGTTCAGGCCGGCTGTGAGCTCACTTTGTAGCCCAGACTGGTCTCAAACTCACAAGGATCCTCCTGCCTCAGCCTCCGGAGTGCTGGGATTACAGGCGTGCACCACCACGCCTGGTGGGAACATCTGGTTTGTTGACTAGGACCATGTATGTTCATGTTCGTTTCTCTCTGAAGAGTTTTGCTGTTATGATTTATATTTACAGTGGTCCCCAAAACTCTGATGCCCTCAGAGGCAGAGCTCTTGGAGGGTGATGGGGTCGCAGGGGCACTATACTCATCAGTAGATTCAGGCACGAATGAGCTCAACTGCTGAGTGTGCTGTTAGGAGGTGGGGCCTGGCTAGAGGGGGCGTCGCTGGGGGCAGGACCTAGGGGAAAGTCTCTCCCTCCCAGCTCCTCCCTTCCCTTTCAGGCTTCTTGGCGCCCATCATCCTAGCAGCCTTCCTCCTGCAGACCTTTCCAACCGTGCCATTTCTGCCTTGGAGCCAGACGACCATAAGCTGAAACCAGGGGCCACAATAAACTCCTCTCCTTAAAGTTGTAGGTGTCAGGTGTTGTGTCTTGGCAATAAGAAAGGGACTAAGACATTTGCCAAGGAATTATGAGGCCATCACAATGTGTGATGATCTATAAAGTTTGATGAAACTACAGGCAAAGTGCTTAAGTCCAGAAAGTCTGAACAGTGATGGGCTTTGAGACTGGTAGATTAATCTGGTGATATCTATGGAGAGAAGCTGTTTTATGAAAGATGACTCCTGCAGAGGGTTGGAGGGAGGCTCTCTTCACTTTGAACATCTACTGCTCACTCAACTCCACCTAATCTACAATTATTCTACCACCTTGGGGCTGGGGATTTAGCTCAGCGGCAAAAGTGCCTGCCTGGCAAGCGCAAGGTCATGAGTTCGGTTTCCGGTACCCGAGGGGGGAAAAAAAAAATACAATTATTCTACCACCTCAATCTATAGGTAGGCTCTGTTTTTTTTTTTTTTTTTTTTCTTTTGCCTGAGACAGGGTCTCGCTATGCAGTTCAGGCTGGCCTTGAGCTCACTTTGTAGCCCAGGCTGGTATCAAACTTGCAATGATCCTCCTGCCTCAGCCTCCCGAGTGCTGGGATTACAGGCGTGCACCACCACTCCTGGCCTGTAGGCAGGTTCTTAATGCATGTGCTCCCGACTCAGCTAATTTTAGAACACTGATGTGAGTATAGCAAGCAGCAATTTTCCGCCACAAACTTATTAGTACAAGAATTCCTTTATTTCTACCAATCAAATCAACTTTGTTGACTAGCTACCAGTCACCTGAGAGGTGAGGTATTTGATGTCAGCCATCTTGGGGGCGGCCATCCCTCTCCCTAGAATTGCACAAGAATCCAGGAGGCACGTGTGGCTCTTGGCAAAGGGCAGAAGAGCTTCTGGTTCTTATGATTGCTGCTAGGAATGGCATCATCCCAGGCCACACAGACAAAGAGTGGGCAGCCTCCTCCCTCCATAGCAAATCATGGGGACACGTTCCACAATCCTCCAGGCCACAACTGTCCCCATGCAAACACATTCCATCCCACAGGAGGTCTGTCACTGCTAGAGAAGCTGCATGGAAGCAGGGTACAAGTCTAGCGCTCCGAGAATAAAGCACCACCGCCGCCCTCACCTCAAGGATTGGCTGCTTCTGCTTTCTTCCCTCTTATAGAGCGTATCAAACACAAAGGGGTCTTGAGACTGTTCTTGGGCACTCAGGGAAGAATTCTGATCAGTGCCAGTTGACTAGAAGCCCCTGAAAGACACATAACATGCCTGTGGAGGCCTGAAGCCTGAGCATTTACCCTGAGGCCTCTGCCTCACCTCCCAGACAGCTCTAATCAGTCTCCTTAACCTTAACCCACAGGGAGTCCCCTGGTGTTTTCAAATGCACCCAGGATTTAGTTGGTTACCATAAAACACACAGCACTTGGGAGGCTGAGGCAGGAGGATTGCTTCGAGTTTGAAGCCTGCCTGCGCTACACAGCGAGTTAAAGGCCTGCCTGCACTGCATAGCAGAACCCTGTCTCAAAAAGAGGACCAGAAAAAAAAAAGACACACAAACAGAGAAATGACGGTCATCCAGGAAGAAGTTTATACTCACAGATCCCTAGAAACAGATGGCAGAGGCAGAGTATGGCAGGGAGCCACACAGAAGCCCAAAGTGGGTCAGGAGGGGCGAGAGCCCTTACTGCGGTTTCCACAGGAAGGAATGAGCAAGTCTGGGTGAGTGAGTTAGGGATCAGCTGGTCTGAATAATCTCAGTGGACTTTAGGGTATAGCAGCTGTTTAGCTGTCTGGTTCTTAGCCTTAAGTGATTAGGACAGGAGAATAGGAGCCCAGTGCTTAGGATCCCTGGGAGCCCTCAATAGAAGACAGTCGGGTGCAGGCTCTGCATGGCTGGTTTGCATATGAAGGCTCACCCAGGACAAGACCTTTACTATCTCTGGGGATTGGCTGTTCATGGGCATAACATTCTCTCCAGGATCAGCGAGGCCCCAGATGTCAAAGCATCATGAAGGCATGATGAAAACACCTGGGCTAAACCTCCGTCTTGGGAGGATTTTATTCCCAGCCTCCTCAACTCAAAGGACTTGCTTGCACCTGGAGAGATGTTGGTCCTGGGATCCAGCATCAGCTGCTGCCTCCTTCTGTCCCATGACTCCAGCTGCAGGTGCTGAAGTCATTTAGCTTGCAGTTCAACAGCGCCATGGCCCAGAGTCCACGAGAAGAGTGCCAGCTGGGACATAAACAAGCAGTACCATACCAACCAGGGAGAGTCCGAGATTCATCCGTAGCCCTAAACCCCGGGCCCAGTGTGTCTTGGGAAAACTCCAGTCCCAGAGGTTGGGAGCCCCTGAAAACATGAATGGTCCCAGTTTGCACTTATTTCTCCCCAGGAGCAGCCCTCCAAACCTGACCCATCACCTTGGCTCTTCTGCCCCACCTGAGAGCCCAAGGAAGCCAGACTGTTTTCTCCGCCGCTTGTCCTCCTTCCCACCCCCAACCAGGACCTGGTGTTTAACACGAACCCAGGTGGACCATTCTGTAACCACACCTGATGTCCACTGGCCACACTACCTGTGTGTCACAAAGAAACATGTCCCTGGGCCCCATCAGAGAGAATCAGAAGACAGTAGAAAGACTTTTGTTTTTATTGCTAGTTTTCTCTCCAGGTGATGAAATAATCCTTAAATATTCCAACCTTGCCTCTGCCCAATTAAAAAGGCAAATTTTATCTCTTCACCCTTAAGAGAAGACCTGTCTCCAGCCAACCAAGATCAGTTGTGCTCATGACCCTCTCCCACCATGGACAGAGTAGCAAGGAGTGTCAAGAGCCCAGCAGGCACTAAGAAGAGCCCTTTGCTGATATCACTGAGGCCGTGAGTTAGCTTGGGGGCTGCTGTGGAAAGGGGAGGAGCAGGGGGAGTTCTTGGACAGGAAATGGCTCTGCCTCCTGTTGAGGGTAGGAGCAGCAGTGAGCATCTCTTTCTAGCTCCGCATCAGTAGGCTTCATTGGGAGCAGATCACTGCTCACGGGTAACAGGCTAAGAATCATTTTATGCACCAGGAACCAGAATCAAAAGCAGAAGGAAATTTGAGAGTGAGAGCCAGAGAACAGCCATCTCCTCGAGGTAATGCAAACAGGAGGGATCACCCGGTAGCTGCGGTAATGTACGAACACCAGGCAGGACCCTGACAGCCAGAATCGGAACAATCCTCCCTGCGGGAACACAAGGGGTGGGACCTTAGTCTGTCCCACTATGTACTGTCCTTCAGTGGCCTTGTCCATGGACACGCCAGCTTCCCCCACAACCATGATGCAAAGATAGTGTCATTATTCACTCCTTCTTCCAGACTTGGTTTCACATTCCCATACTTTCTTTCACTCTTGGGTCTTGAATTTACCCAACAACCAAAATGTATACAGGATTGCCTCCTTCCTACCTATGCCCACCCTTCCTCACTTTCTCTACGCTTCTCATTCTGTGTTTCACCAACTAGAGCCACAGTTCAAGGACCACATGCTCCAAACCTATTGTGGCCCTTCTTCCACTGCAGGGGACTTAAGATGACTGCGTGTGTCATGGTTTTCATACGGTTAAGCTATATGATTATGGCATAGAAAGCCAGTATTTACAATAACAACATCTACTGGTATAGATAGTGCTTTATTGTTTACAGGTTTTCTCACTTAATCCTGGCAGCAACCATGAGGTAGGTATTACTATCCCCATGTTACAGGTAAGTAGACCGGTATCCCTAGGTTACAAACATGCCTAAGATTATATGTTTCTTCGCTGCAAACCCACTGAAACTCCAAACCCAAGGGGACTCTTGAGTAGTTCACAGGCTGCTGCCAAGGAAAGTAGAGCAGAAAACTCCAACTGGAAAGGACTGGACCATTCACTGGAGCTTGAAGGGGTCCCTCACCAGGGACGAATGAGGCACATTCACCGGCCAAGACCAGGACTGAGCAGCAGAAGCCTAGAGCACAGAGGAGATGTGAAGCAGGAAGGTCCGGGCAGCGGGTGAGAGTTGACAGTGTCTTCAAACACGCAGAGCCCAGCTTCCATGGACTAGAGAAACAGGACCTCCGGGAGCTACAAGTCCAGGGACTGGCCACAGGCAGCAGCACCATCTTGGCGTGACCCAAGTGCAGTGATCCTTTAACTTTGTTAAGGCCTTGAGAATCTGATGAAAGCCCCCCGCCCCACCAGAAAAATACAGACACACACGTACCGATGTACAGACAATGTTTTGCATACAATTTCAGGGAGTCCATGGACCCCAGGTGAGGGACTCCTGCTTTAGGGCAAAGGTATCAACCTGAGTAAAGTCACTGATGCAACCTATCTTTAAGCTGCTTGCACTTCCCTTCTGCTGTCCCCTAATATTTAGAATGTTGTGAAATTCATCTTTAATTGTAGCCAAGGAAAGGGGGGTTCCACCTATACTCCAGGCAGGGAAAGAGTGTCTACGGCATGGCAGTGCTGGCAACCAAAGGGCAAAAGCAAAAAGAAGGATGGGTTCACACGTACCAGGGCCCTTCCCACCCAGAAGGTCACTTTGGGAGCTTCTCTCTACTCAAATTTAGAAAAAGGTTATGAGTCAGTGAACAGAGGGGCAGTGTTTGCTGCCTGTTAGAAAAGAAAGCCGCTTCCCCACTGTGCGTGGGGTGTGGAGCTGTGCGGGGAATGCGCCCATTCCAACCTTCCCCCTCGACCCCGGGACACCTAAGCCTCAGCCCAGTCACTCATGCACATGTGGCCAGGTCTGCTATGAACACCGACGTATTTACACACACTCTTTCAGGGAGGAAGGAGAACTGGGATGGAGGCCTCAGGGCAGAGGTCCCGCACGGCAGCACAGGGAATCATGCACTCACCAGAGAATCAGCGAAATGGGAGAATCAAAAGAACCATCTCAAGGACTCAGGGCATCCTGGCCCCCACCTACCTCCACGGCCCTTCCTCCTAGCCAGGGCCCACCCAAAAAGCCAAGTCAGAGCTCTGTCTTGGGCCCCATCACCAAAACTAAGGGGCCCAAGATAGGGGTCCAGGGCTGAAGGGTTATAGGGGCTCAGAAGTTGAGGAGGAAAGGAAACCCCGGTTCACTGCAGCCCCAACTTCACAGGAATCAGGAATCAGGTGATACTTAGGAGATCACTCAGACCCAACAAAAACTGAGAGGCCAGGACAGTCTCCCAGGCGCAGAGACCTGGTCTCGGTGGTCACTCTGTCCCAGTATTCACTCATACACTAGTGGCCATTTGCCTGGCTCTAGATGGATGTTTCATCACACGTGGCTAGCGGAGCCCCGGTGAGCCGAATATGGGCTGGGCTCGAGCAAGGATCGAGCAGGAAGGGTGGAGGGAAGCCACCGAAGCCACTGCCCCTCTTCGCCAGGGCCAAGGGCAACCGCTCATCTTCAGGAGAAGGGGAGGGAGGGTCTTGGCTGTAGCTTGTGGTCCCAGATGGTGGGGCCCCCAGGTCTAAGCCTACCTTGTCTCTAGCCAGGAGTTCCCTCTGCCTCCGTCTCTGCTGACGCCGACCAATCAAGAGGAGAGTCAGAGATGCTACAACAGTCCCCATGAAGAAGCCAGCCAGTCCAGCCCCCACTGTGTGGGCCTGGGTTGAAGGACCCTGCTGGCTGCCCCATACCAAGCTGTAAGCTGCTACCACCCGAGCTGCCCCACCCTCCCGACATTCACAGGCATAGGCACCCATAGTCCCCGGGGTCACCACCACCTCTAGCCCATCCCGCCGAGGGGTGAGAGCAGTCATTCCACTGGGCTGATGCCATACGCAGGATGCCCAGGCCGAGCTGGGGGAACACGGCAAGACCACATGTGCAGATGTGGCCACAGGAACTTCAAACACTACCGGGTGTTCTGCAGAGAGACATCACAGGCACAAAAAGTGAGATTACAGGTTGACATTCTTTTTTTGTTGCTGTTTGGTTTTTTTTGTCTTTTTGAGACAGGGTCTCACTATGCAGTTCAGGCTGGCCTTGAGCTCACTTTGTAGCCCAGGCTGGTCTCAAACTCACAACAATCCTCCTGCCTCAGCCTCTTGAGTAATGGGACCACAGGCGTGTGCCACCGCACCTGGTTTCAGGTTGACATTTGATGGACAGGACAGAAATGCTGGGTGGTATCAGACAGGAGACAGCACCATGGGAACAAGCTAAAAAGGATTTACCCCAAATGCCACCCTATGGCATGGCAGTGCTGGCAACCAAAGGGCAAAAGCAAAAAGAAGGATGGGGTCACACATACCAGGGCCCTTCCCACCCAGAAGGACCCTTCTCTCTACTCAAATTTAGAAAAAGGTTATGGGTGAATAAAGAGAGGGGCAGTGTTTTGCTGCCTGTTAGAAAAGAAAGCTGCTTCCCCACTGCGTGTGGGGTGTGGAGCTGTGCGGGGAATTCGCCCATTCCAACCTTCCCCCTCGACCCCGGGACACCTAAGCCTCAGCCCAGTCACTCACGCACATGTGGCCAGCTCTGCTATGAATGCCGATGTATTTACACACACTCTTTCAGGGAGGAAGGAGAACTGGGATGGCGGCCTCAGGGCAGAGGTCCCGCACGGCAGCACAGGGAATCATGCACTCACCAGAGAATCCTTAGCCCACAGGGTAAGGATTCAGGTCACTGGCTGCCATGTTTTCCAGGATCCAAGTTTTAAAGCATGGACAGCTTTCTAACCCCGTTCTATCCATTCCACCCATGGTTCCCCAAACCATACACACCTCCAGGCTCTTTGGGACACAAAGAAGAGACATCCGCTGACTCTATGTCTTGGACCAGTCTATAAGGAGAAGAATAACTGGTAAACCCAATGTCAACATTCTTTTCCACTCTCTCAGTACCATGGAACATTTACTCCCTCATTGAATCTCCTGCCAAATCACCCCTGAAATGAGTTAACATTCTCATCACCAGATCTTTCCCCGGTACCCCTTATGTACTGCATATTTGCCAGGTCCAACTCTACGCTTACTTCTAGTAGACCATTATCTATTTTAAAGATGTCTGGTGGGTGTGCTTGAAAAGAAATGGGATTCTTCTAAGAAACAGATCTGACTATCCACAACCACAAGGTTTCTCTAAGGAAAAAAAAAAAAAAAAAACATACAAACTATAGTTTCTGTTTTTCCATTAACAGAAAGAGCAAGTTTGTTTTCTGTAAAATCTAAGCAAAAATTCCATGAGTGTAAGTTTCGTGAAAGTAGCTTGTCTCAAAGAGGAACTCTCTCCCTACAGGTGCTGACATATACTGGCTTCTCACGGATCTGTTTCCAACAGCACAATCCGGGTTTTCCCAGGATCTGGGAAGGCTATGACAGCACGATGGGTCACTCTCTACTGAGCCCTCTGGCACCACCACCTGAGGAGGGGAGGCCCCTGAGAACTCCACTGGGACTGTCAGGAGAAGACAGGTAAAAGCCTGAGCAACCTGAAAGCCTCAACCAGAGAGACTCCGTTTAAGTGTGAACTCCTTCAACACGAACTGAAGCCCTTGAAATGAGTTCTAAGACTAGTATGAACCCAAGCCTGATCAGTTTAGCTGAGAGTGGGGAAAGTGCAAAGACCCTATGTACAGTGGGGCCACCTCATAATCTATGTTTTTCTTTCTTCTGCAAATTGAAGTACGGAAGGCAGAAGGTGTAGAACCTAAGACATGCATACACACGACCTCCCAAATTCATACATGTTTTAAAACAACCCTTCAGGCTCAAGTACAAAGGATATCTAAGACCAGTGAATTTTTTTTTTCAGACAGGGTCTCACTATGCAGTTCAGGCTGGTCTTGGGCTCACCTTGTAGCCCACGCTGGCCTTGAACTCAAAGTGATCCTCCTGCCTCAGCCTCCCAAGTGCTGGGATTACAGGCGCATGCCACCATGCCAGGCCAAACCAGTGAAATTCTTATCTCAATCAATATTAGAACCATAAAAGAAAGAATAAAGCATTTGCTTTTGTCTTAAGAGGATTAAAGTTCTCACAAAAGAAACTAAAAAATCAGGTGAAAATCCTTAACCAAAACTGTGAAGCTGACCAAGCCTGACACCTTAAAGTCACTTTACATTCCCAGTTAGCAACATGTCAAGTCTGACAGACTAACATTTTAAGTATACGCAAATGGAGAAACTGGAATATTGACTGGTGTTATGGTTTGCATCTAGATGCCCCCCTAATGCCTCAAGTGCTTATAGGTGGGGCTTTTCAGAGGTAGGTGGATCTGGAGTGCATGAGTATGGATTAAGGGTGTGTGATAATCTGGATCAGTCCCCTGATTGGATTAGCATAGTTCTGGGTGTGACTGAATGGATTCACTGAAGAGGGGAGCTCCATCCTGGCTGTGGGTGGCACCAATCAATAGGCATGTAGCCTGGATGGAATATACAGGGACAAAAAGAAGGCATACTCATTTCCTTGTCCCTGGCCTGCCATGGACTGTTTCTGCTCTGCCGTGCCACCCTGCCTTGGGGCTAGCGGACTACGGACTGAAACCTCTACACAAACTGTGAGCTCTCCTCCTTTAACTTGTAGATATCAGGCATTTTATCCCAGCAATGAGAAAAGAAACTGAGACAACTGAATATTTGATGACACTAAGAAATTAAGTTTTTGGTGCAGTAACGATAACATCTATTCTACAACATAATGATTATGTTTTGAAAGAGCCCTTATGTATTAGAGATAAACAAAAATGTATGGATGAAGTGACATGACATCTAAGATGTGTTTCAAAATCATTGGAAGGGAGCAGGGTTATTCATGAAGCAAGAGTGGCCAGGAGTTGATGGTTGTTGAAACTGAGGCTAGATACGTGGAAACCCATTATATTAGTTTGTCTACTTCTGAATATGTTTGAAACTTCCTACAATAACAGTTTTCAAGAGTGTCTTTATCTAGTGTAGATCTATATTGAAATATTTAGGATGAATACAATGTCCTGGCTTTTCTTCCACATGATACATGTTTTTGGGCTAGCTGCTAAGGGGCATGCATATGATAGGAGCCAAAACTGGACAAGAGGATAACAATTAGAAGGTTATTAAAGTAGTCCAGTTACAAAGTAAAAAAAAAAAGTGGAGGACTTGGACTGGAGTGGTGACATAGGGGTGATAGGATGAAGGCAGACTGGGGGATACCAGAAGTGGACTCGGAACAAACTTTAATATGACGTGGCCATATCTGGCTTGAGCAGCGGAAGGGACAGAGGTCCCTCTATTGAAATGAGAACTAGAAGAGAAATAATGAACAATAGTACATACTCAGACTTGCTCAATTTGAGTTGCTTACAGAACATCCAAGGGGACTATCAGGTAGGAGCTGGATAGGGAATGCTGTAGCTCAACCTAGATAAATTTGTGGTTGTCCTCAGCACTCATATGATTTTGGAAACAGCAGGAATGAAATCACCCCAAGTGTGTGGAGATGTAATGAGAAAGGGCCAGGACAGAACCCTGAGGCATATCAACGATCAGTAGCTGGATCAGGGGGAGAGAATGCAGAGTTCAAGAAAGAAAAGCGGAATGGGTGGCTGTGGAAACACTTCTGAGAGCTCCTGTAAGATGGAAACTGGGAATGGCCTCCCAGAGAACTGTCTCTCTGACGGACAGGGAGCGTCAGTCTCCCTGTCGTCACTCACTGACACGGACCCAGTCCTGCTCTCAGGACAGGTCTAGCAGAGAGGCAAAGACACTAATGAGGTAGCACCAGATGGACAGACAGATGGAGTTAGTATAAGGTGACAGATGGACATGCAAGTGACACAGACATCAACAGAAAAGAATAAACAGAGCCAGGATGGCATCAGCGGATGAGGAACGGGCAAAGCCCCGGAACAGCAGGCAGAAACCGATGCAGCTGCTCTCACCCTTGGTGCTCCCCAGCATGGGCCACACACGCTTCCAGCCGGAAACTCCAGGCACAGGCAGGGTCCTGGGCCAGGATACACTCTGAGCAGCTCTGGAGACGACCGCAGTTGGTTGTGTTCACTTGTGTCACCTCGGTACGGGAGCCAACCAGGAGCCAGCCCTACAGAAAGGGAGCAGGGAAGAGGGATATGCTGCACCTCCCAGACTTCAGGGTCACCCGTGTCTATACTCACACGTCTCCCTACTGGGTTTTCCCCAGTCTGTAACTCACATGGTACAATTTCATGCTCTCCACCGGCTGCGGCTCTGGGAACAAGGCCAGATCCTCCAGGACACTAAGCTGGGTTCCAACGCGCACTGCTCGGTGCAAGTGTCCATCCTCTAGGAGACAAAGGGGTAAGAATAATGGCCTAACTGCCCCTGGGCGTGGGACTCTGATGCCTGTATGTAGTAGGGGTCCCCTCTGTGATGAGGGTATATACTATATGGCAACTTGTTTGACTATTAAATATACCTGTACCCAGGTAGAGCACATCATACTGTTTCCCCGAGAGGCTGGTCACCCTGTGGGCCACCACTCTGAGGTAGACTGTATCCGTAGTGACCAGAAGGGGGCGCCCATCAGCGGGAAACACTGGCCGGTCCATGAGTGGGTGGTCCCGGATGAAGGTGAGCACGCGATCCGGCAAGGAGAGTGAAGAGCCAAACTGCTGGAGCTTCATGTTCTTGGTGATACACTAGAACAAACACAGGCTGCATGACAAAGTTTCTCGGGGAACAAAGTGTCAGTGACACTGAGGGTGCCTCTTGCCCTGAGGGCAGCTCTTTAATTTAGCCCCGGGTTAAAGAGCTGGCCTGGCTCCCTTACCTCTCCAGGTCTGGGCTGGGGCACGTCATTGTCCGTGACAGGTAGTCCCCTGTTGCAGTCATGTTTTAGCTCTCTGAAGGTACCATTCAGTACTGTCCGGATGTCTTGTGGTCTGAAGGCACAGACAGCAGAGATGGCAGCCCCTTCCCTGGAAGAGTCACAGGTTGGAAGTGTATCTGCAGGGAGCTAAAGAACAGCAGCTTATCTCTTGTCAAGACATGACCCCGAGATCACACAAGGAGCCACGGGAGAGAGTCTATCCCACTCTGAAGGAGACAGCAATGACACTGTGCCGATCCTCCGGTCTCCCACCCTGTAACTCCACACCAGCAGCCCTCACCACTGGGAGGAAAAGATGCCATAGAAGATGGGAGTCCCCACTCCAAGATCAGGTCGAAGCTCAGCCATGTCCTGCAGGACTGTGGAGGCCCGGCCATGCTCAGGCCCTGGGCACAGCAGGTCAGCCTTCAGGAATGTTGTCCACCTCTGCTGAAGGGTCTTCCGGCCCCCAAGGTCCCCCTGGCGTGACAAGAACATGGAAAATTCTCTTTAGAAGACTAACATTAAGCAAGGAGTATGAGGACAAATATGTTTCCTCCTGGACTTCAGGACAGACACAGAAAACGGGGAGACATGCACCAAAATACAAAAACAGACATACAGATAGAGGAACGGCAGGGACAGAGATTCTGGAGTAGATAAGCTCATAATAACAATGCCAGTAACTAAGTCAACTGTGCACTTATAATGATGTGGTTTTTTTGTATTTTGTTTTCTTTTTGAGACAGGTTCTCGCTCTGCAGTTCAGGCTGGCCTTGAGCTCACTTTGTAGCCCAGGCTGGTCTCGAACTCGCAAGATCCTCCTGCCTCAGCCTCCCAAGTGCTGGGATTACAGGCATGTGCCACCACACCTGGCTAATGACGTGTTTTATTAGGTTCCCTCATATAGTCCTCAAAACAATCCTAGTTCAGCATCGTTGTCTTCATTCTGCAGATAAACTTCAAATGTGCTTTTAAAAATCCTGCCCAGGCACAGCAAGTGGTGGAAGAGGACTTAAACCCAGGTCTGTCTGCTACGGTTCCAGCCTTTAACTTCTACACTCATCCCCCTCCTATGGATCGTGTGTCATAATGCTAATGGTGGGGGTCTAAGAGGCCAGACATTCCTCAAGTTCCCAGGAAAGAAGGCAGAGAAACACGAAGAACAAAAATGCAAAGACAGAGATCCAGAGAGGAAATGACAGGAGGACACACAGCAGGAGATGACAAACAGACAGCCAGACAGGGGTCTCACCGCACACACACGGGCCACCCGTGGGACCTTGATGTGCTCATACGAGTCAAATGTTCGGGAAGTCTCCGTAAAGAAGAAGTAGATTTCGTCGTCACCGTCTTCATCCCCCCACTCGGCTGGGCTCAGGGCCACGGCTGCGACAAAGGCTGGGGCTGAGGAGACCACGGCCTCAGATCCCCACAGACATAGCCTGGGGCCAACCAGACTCCACCCGGTCTGTATTCCAGAGGACCCATCTCCCGCTACCCACCGTTAAGCCAGGCTGGCAAGGTCTCTATGCGAATCCAGTCCTCAGTGCGCCCCACAGCCCGGGAGATAATCGGCTCTGTCCCCAGGTAGTTTTTCACAGTGGCAGTATAAAGAACCCCCCCTGCAGGGTGACAGGGAGGAGACAGGCTATCAGAGACCCACAGAGAGAAGCAAAGGCAGAGCAGGTAAAGCAGGGCAGCAACTCTCAGGCCTGAACATCCTCTAAGTGCCAGGAACCACTGAGCACATCACAGGGGCCACTTCATAGTAAACATCAAAATAAATTGCCCCGGGGCAGTACAGCAACCAGTGTTAAAGAGAAAACTGTGCCACACTGTCCATTGGTATGAAGGGAGGATAAAGAGCTCCCTGGTGGAAATCAGGTTTTGTTTTGCATTTTTTGTTGCTGGTGTAGTAACCCTGTAATATGCTAACTGTCCTGTGAGCCTCCACGAGGAGCACCAACTTTGCGGCACATTCCAGTATTACTTAAGTTTTCCACTATGGTAAAGTCCGAGGGAACCAGTGCTCTTTCTGCATATCAGTAAGTATGCACTGCTTTGCAACAAGTCACAGCTCTAGGATACACTAGAATCCCTCAGGGGCTTAATCCAAATACAAATCTCTGGTGCTAGACATTCTCACTCAGCAGAACTAAGGGGCACCCCAACACCCCGCACCGCAAACAAGCAATCATAATTATTCTGATGCAAGAGGGTTGGGCCCCCGTTTGTGAAAACCTGAGAAAACACAAGCCCAGGGGATGAGCAGCAAAGAAATTGGGTCCTCTCTCCTATACAGTGGAGGAGCAGAGACGGTGCAGGCATGCTGAGGGTTTGAGAAGAGAAAATCATCACCCTGGGATGGAAAGGAGGTGCAGTTCTTTGGGCTGAATGGGAAGGAACTATGACTGCTGCCAAGGACTCAGACATGAGTAGGAAGACAGTGAATCGTAGAAGGTCACGGACACCTGGAGCAGGCCTGCACAGCCAGGTACTCTGGGGAGAACAAGATGACGTGCTTTCACCACCGGCTGTGTAACAAGGCACTCACTATGTTGGGTGTTGAGTACATCACTGCCCTCAAGAATTCCCATCTGAGCCAGAAGACAACCACATAATCAGACAGTAGGAGGCTTGAACTAGCAGATGGCAGGAGAGGAGCTACACAGGAGAATCCAGCTACTTCTACCTGGGACCCAGCGTGTCTGAAGAATGAGAAATCTGTCATACCAGGAGGACTTTGGGGAGAAGACAGGCAAGCAGCAAAGAGGCGAGCCATAGCATGCATGCGGGAATAGTGGTGGCTGAAGCCCAAAGGGGCAGAGAGGGGGGCCCAGGCAGGGCAGGTGAGCAGAGATAATGCTGGAGGGGTGAAGATGGTCTCCCAACTGTGAAGAATATGTTCTGCCAGACCAGCAACATGGACTGTGTCCTGCAGGAAGGAGGAAAAGGGCAGAGGTATTTTTTAAGAGGAGAGTGACATAATCAGTTTTATTTTTTTTTGAAAAGATACTACTACTTACTGGCCATTCGCACAGTCCAGGCAAGTGTAGAAGGCCAGGACAAAGACAAGGTAGACATAATAAAGGAGATGGATTTAGAAGATATTTGCAAAGTAGAATCCATTAACGAGGTCTGAAAATCAACTAAACATGAGCTATGAGAACATGGAGTAAAATAATGTCCTCAGACTTACACAACTGATGACAGCAGATTGTGATGTTATCACCCAAGCCAGGAAATGATAGAAAGGGTCCACGAAGGAGGCAATGGAGGGGAAATGAGTTCCGGCTCAGCCATGCTAAGGTAGATGTGCCTTCAGGACATGGGTCAGAGACACAAGAAGGCAATTAAAGAGAAGGGTCTAGGAAACGGGCCCAGTCAGTACCTTGAGAGTCATCATACATCCTGTCTAAGTTCCAACATGAACAACAGGAGGCAGTAGGGAGGAAGGCAAAATGAGGCAAGTGTCCCCCACTTAAGGGAACAAGGAGCTGCTGCAGACTAGGTCAGAGAGCTGGAGCAGCAAGGAGGACTGCTGTGCTGGGAGCTGGTGCATGGAGGCCTTACATGATCTTTCAGGGTTCTGCTTGCTGGGGAAGCAGGAGAAAGCCATATGGAGGGAAGAATCACCACCCGAGGGCCACACATGCTCCAGAAAAGCTGCATGTGGCAGGCACTGGTAAGACAACTGGCCTAGAAAAAGGTCTATGAAGAGCAAAAAAAAGGGGCACCGGGAGGATTCTGAGGGCAGCAGTGGAGGAGGGGAGGCTGGAAACCTCCTCAGGGAATGGAAAGGGAGACTGTTCCATCACTGGAAATTATGTAAAGCATCCAAGTGATTTGGAGCCAGGAGGACTTTCATTAGAACCCTGACTATTACTAGCTGTATGATCCTGGGCAAGGTAACTTTTCTAAACCTCAGCTTCTTCAAATGTAGAATAAGGATAACACCACCTTCCACTCAGAGAAGGCGCAGAGACTGGATGAGAGCAACTACAGAGCCCCAGCTGGGATCTGGCGCACGGTAGGCTTTCAGCGAGTTGCAGCTCCTCGTGAAAGCTCAAAGAGCTCTATGCTATCAGAAGGAGAAAGGGAGCTATAAAACAGTATTGTATTCCCTTCCAGAGAATTTCAGACCAGAAAAACCAAATATTGATTATAGGTCCTAGCAGTAAATGGGGCAGCAAATGACCCGGCCCTCTGTACTTCCAAAGGGGAAAGTGTTGATACAGAAGGGCTGGTTTGAAAATTCTTCCCACCAGTACAATACACAAAATAGCCTAAAGCCAAAAGTCTGACAGCTTCAGGTTCTCTCTGTGTTCAGACGTTGTTTAGGGGAGACAGCTCCTACTCCAACATTCTCCGTTTCCTTATCTAAGTAATGAGGCAGCTGAATGCTTTTAACAGCCATTTAGTAAGACATAATTAGGTCACTGAAGATGCAGTATCTGTGTGGTGGATACCCCAAGATTGAAAGGTGTGGTACAGGAGACAGTTACATTTATTCAGGGAATATGGCTTAGAGTATGGAATTGGAGAAAAAATAATCATTAATATTCTAGAAACTGTAAAAAGACTACAGATCACCATGCAAAAACCCAACAATGGATGGAAATAAAGGGTCCCAAAATGTCTTAAGCGGTCAGTGGGGGAGCTAGTAACACAGGAACTAGGAATGCAGAAGAGAACACTCAGGGTGAAATAACAGAAGGTCACTGACCCACAGGACTGCAGGAGGATCAGACACACTGGGAGGAAGTAGCAGGACCAAGGGACTGTGACAGTCTTACACACAGAAGACACAGCAGCCGTTACAGTCACGAGGGCAGGAGGACACAGGACCACTGTGTGACCTAGATTCTCCAAGACACTATCAACTCCTAATTCCAGGACAACGGGATTGCAATGTTCACATCACAAAACATCCCTGAACATGTAATCTTTGGGCAAATTTGTGCTGAATGGATCAAGTCAGTAAAAATTACAATACACATCTTACCATTGGTAAAAGATGATCTGCAGAACAGTGATGCCCACAAAGTTGAGTTCTGTAGACAAGCTAGTTAGAGGGGGGAAGAATACTGACGCTAATTCTGCCCTGTTTTTAAAAATATATTATGTACTATCTGCAGGGATAGGACAGAGTTTTGAAGGAGCTGTAACTCTACAGTGTTAACAATGTTTATTTCTGATTAACGGAATCAGAAGTGATTTTCTTTTTATGTTTTTGTATTCACTTTTTTGTACTTATAATCTTTTACTTTTGTGACCCTAAAATTAAGATATTTCGTTTGAGAAATTAAAACAAAAAGATTGAAAGCCCCAAAACAAAGAATCAGAGCTGAAGAAAAATCAGATGTGTGAAAATGGATCCCTATTTGTGCACAGATGGAAAGCCTGTGAACACAGGCCTCCCAAATGTGTTAGCACCCCAAAACTGACACGCTGGGATGTGTGTCATGACAGGGAATATTTCACTACACCACGGGGGGTTTCCATTTTCCATTCTGATGGCAAAATGCTCACTTTTAAAAACAGAACTATCTGCTCACTAGGTTGTCTGTCTGTTTTTTGAGACAAGGTCCCCTTGTGTAGTTCAGACTGGCTTTGAGTTCACTACATAGCCCAGGCTGGCCTCACACTCTCAGTGATCCTCCTGCCTCAGCCTGCCCCACCCCACCAAGTGCTAGGATTACAAGTGTGCACCACTACACCAGGCTCTTAAGTTTCCAAAAGATTTTAAACGTCCTGGCCCTGCTTTTTCCACCTCCTTTTCTCCTCACATTCAGATGTTTTTTAGGGTAGATAGCTCCTACTGCAATGCTCTTCAGTTCCTTATCTAAGTACTGAGGCAGCTGAATGCTTTTAACAGCCATTTAGTAAGACATAATTAGGTCACTGAAGATGCCCTGTTTACTTTTCCCTCTGTTGGTCATGTAAGATTTCTTTCTTGTTTGTTTGTTTGTTTGAGACAAGGTCTCGCTCTGCAGTTCAGGCTGGCCTTGAACTCACTTTGTAGCCCAGGCTGGCCTCGAACTTGCAATGATCCTCTTGCCTCAGCCTCCTGCGTGCTGGGATTACAGGCGTGTCCAACACTCCAGGACATGTAGGATTTCTATAACCATCTTGTTTCTGTGTATGAATGCTAATTCTGGACAGACACGTGGATTTAAGGGGTGGGCTTGGCCCCCAAAAGGTGGAAGCAGTCTGTGCATTTGCAACAAACAATGTGCAGCACTCCTGGGCAGGTCACGAGATACAATGGGACCGAAAGAAGTGGATAAAAAAAGCACAGGATGGGCTCCCGAAGAGAAACAGCACAAGCTTCTGCTCATCTTGAAGAAAGCCTGATTTATTACAGGATCCAGGAAGGAGGAACCAAGACAGACCGACTGCTGCCTGTAGCTCGAGTGCCTGGTGACACTGCGCACTCAGAAATGCTGGTGGAGGAGCACTTTTGGAGAAAGTGACCGAAGCTGATGATCTCAGCTTGGGACATGATGATTCTGAGAACCCCGTGGGACATCCAAGTGGAGACATCTGAAAGGCAGCTGGGTATGTGGCCTATACCTCAGTAACGTCTGGGAGGGAAGTACCGACTGGGGAGGCATCAGAATGTGGGAGAAAAAGCAGCCACAGGGCTGGCTGAGATCACAACGGCACTGAGCAAGAGGCTGCTTGGTGGAGGCTAAGGAGCCCTAACACTTAAAGGAGGAGCAGAAGACAGAAAAAAAAAAAAAAAAAACTACCATGAAGACTGAGAAAGAGTCACGGGGGATTTTAGGCTAAACGTTACTGTCAAAATACACTTTTCCAAACTTGAACAGTACTAATAAACCACTGAGATCACTCTGCTAATTTTATCTAAGGGTAGTAACTGATAAATGCCATATTTGAAAGCTAGACTTTTGAAGCTTTTCCCAAAAGACATACAAATACTAATAAACACATGAAAAATTATTCAACATTAGTAGAAATGCCAATCAAAATACAGAGGAGGGGGCCAGGGAGAGAGCTCAGTGGCACAGTGCCTGCCTGGCAAGCACAAGGTCCACAGTTCGATTCCTGGTACCAAAAAAAAAAAAAAAAAAAAAAAAAAAAAAACCACAAAGGAGGAAACCATTGCTTTTTTGGATACTTGGTAACCATATTACTTGGAACTTACAAAGGTGTGATGAAACAGGCTCATCACTGGTGGTCAGGCTAACCAGGTGGTCAGAGAGCAATTTATTAAAATCTATCCATGAGGGGCTGGGGATTTAGCTCAGTGGCAAAAGCGCCTGCCTGGCAAG